AGCGTCTCTGCAGGCTGTCCCCTCCCGCCGTCCATCACAAGCCCGTGCCACTGGCGGCACCCCACCTGCGGCGGGCCCTGCTGCTCAGTGGTGCCGTGAATTGAGTCAGCAAGACTGCACGAGCTTCCTGAAACAGGGGCTCAAGAGGCCGCTCGAGCTGCTCCATTGCTGAGCCGTGGGGCTCCTCGTAGCCCCAGCGCTGCCCCATCCTGCTATCCCACTTTCCTCCAGCCTCTCCCTGCAGGCAGGGCTGCTGGTCCCTCCTGACGCACCAGGGCAGAGCAGCAATCAGCGCTAGGTGCGCTCGCTCCTCACACAGGCCAAGGGCATCTCTCCAGGCTGGGCTCAGAAGCCCTTCGGCAGCAGTTCCTGTGTAGGACAGAAAATCCCCTCCACTCCAAGCAGTCAGGAGGGAGGGCTGGAGGGGACGGGGCCCCAGAGCCCCCCGCAGCCCACGAGGAGGCGAGTGAGGGACAACAGCGCCAGCAGCGCTCCCTACCCCAGCACCGTGTACATCACAGCAGAGGCTTGGAGATGCTCAGCACACTTCACACCCCACGCTGCTGCCCACAGGGCACTCGGTCCCAGCCAGACCTTCCGTACTCTAGGAAATCCTGGCATTTCAATGGTGTCTTTGTCCGACTATGGAACAGAAAGGACACTTTATCGTTTATTACAGCACAGATGTTCAAAAAAATTTTGCTTTGGAAACACAGAAATAACTGCTCGAAATGTTTCACTTCGACAGTGCCACTTCAGCTGCTGCAGAAAGATTGGATTTATTGCCATCCAAAAAAAGAAAGGCTCAATGCTTTTGTTCACTGATGAAATCCATACATTCCCATTAATTCTTATGGTATTTCCATACAAGCACTTCTCAAGAGCATGCTGCTCAGGCAGAAAAAGTGCCTTTCCCCTCTACTCATTCCCATCCACAAAGGCTGGGATCAGCTCTGTTCCCAGTGGTGGGGGACAAAAGTACATGGTGGGCTAAGCGCCTGGCCATGACAGAGATTATATTTAGGGTTAGGAGACAGAAAAAGCCACGAGCCCCAAGTAGAGCAGCACTGCAAAGGGCATGCCAAAGGAGACGCGCTGCTCCAGCAATATCCCCCCCACAACAACGTTCTCTCTCTGTCACTAGAGCTCCTGGAACCTCGCATCAGGCCTGCTCTGCCAGGGTCCCTGCAGGCCCTCGCGGGGTGCTGCCCTGTGGGATGCAGCCCTGACCTCTGACATGGGACAGGGGACCAAGGAGAAGGAAGGTGGAAGGGAGCAGGAAGGGGCAGCTGTGCCAAGGCCAGGCCCGATGCGCGTTAGGCTGGGCCATTAGGCCGAGATTATATCGGAGAGACTTTCCCACGCCTTGCGGAGCAGGGAGGCTCGTGATGTTCAGCAGCTGCCAGTGCGTTACCTGCTTTGCTGCAGGGCCAGGCAGCACGTGCTCCCTGCAGAGGAGGCTCCCGGCTGCCTCACCAGCGGCACCGGAGCCCTGTGCTCACAGAGGGGCTGGGCAGCCCCTGCCTCGCTGGGCCTCAGCTTCCCTGCCAGGCAGTGCAACACAGCACCGCTCGTCACGGAAATACCCCCACAACCAGGCCTCCTGGCTGCCAAGCTTCACAAAGACTCCCAGTGACATCAACCATGGAGCTAAAAGCACTGCAGCAGCAACGTAGCTCTCCAGCCCAGCTCGGGATTATCAATGTTCAGCATTTTATTTGGGACCTCATTGTTACAGGCTACTACTTTGTGAAGTGCTCTTCTCCCACAGAAATGTTAGCAATCCCGCTGTGCTCAGAAATGCTGGGCTTCTCAAAGCAGAATTCCTGGATTCCTTCCAACCAGGGCGGCATAGCCACCTGTCCGGCTCCACTCAGCTCCACTCAGCAAATAGCTCCATTCTAGTAACTACTGGCGGCACCTGTGTGACAATACCAACCTCCCTGCCTGCTGCTGGGCTTCTCAAAGCAGAGCTGCGCGGAAGCGTGGTGGGTCAGGGCCATGCAGGAGATGCCCCTCACTCCTGCTCATTTTCACCTTTCCGAATGAAGGTGCCTGCAGAGACGCCGAGCTGCAAGACACCAACCGGGCTGCTTCACCCACAGCTGGCAGGTCTTCAGCAAGGCAGGGCCCTCTCCCACGGAGCACACCACTGCGCCCACACGTCTCAGAGAAGCTGCTGGGATCACTCTCTGGGCTTGCAGATCACAGGCTTCTTTCAGGAAAATGTAGGCAGCCGAGCGAGAGGCCACAGGTGCCATATGGGAGCTGATCAGCTTCCAGCCCGGCTCATTCAGCAAAGTACCGCTTGGGGAGAAGTCAGCTCTCTGCTGGCCAGAGTATCGCACTGTCTGTGAGGATGTCACACGTCACCCTAAGCCACTCGACTTCTGTGTGTGGAACTCCAGTTTTCAGCCTGAGGGCTTTAGATTGGAAAGGAAAAGCAGTTCTGGAGACAGAGTGAATTAGCAGCACAGAGCAATCTCTTTAACTCCCCACCATGCAGCAGGATTATCCTGCAGACTCGCGGGATAATCCTCCGGTTTGTCACACCTGGGGGCTGTGGACGGCAGCTTGGCACATCCTCTCTGTTGCCCCCTGCACCGACAGATCTTGGGGGTAAGGTCTGGAAGGGGATGAGACCTCTGGTGTCGCATGGCCCCGCTCGGCCAGGCGGACACACGGAGCGGCCCGCGGGCAGCCTGCTGCTGGGCATCGTGAGCAGGGGGAAGACCCACTCCGGCCCCGTTGCAACCTCGCAAGAGCACACGGCACAGTTCAGCAAGGTGCTGAGCCCTCACGTCAGCCCCAAGGAGCACCGCAGTGTGCTGGGCTTTAAGCCAATGACTTGTCCTGCCAGTTTACCCAGGTTCATGCAAGTGCTCAAGTGCTCTCCGGGCAAGGGCTCTCAAAGCTCTTGTGCTTCACTTCTCCCACCTGGGGAATGCGGGGTTAATGCACTGCTGTGCAGGGAGTGCAGCAGCCTCTCTGCTGCTCGGAAAGTGCTTTGCTAGAACCACCAAAGGCAGGAAGCGCAAGGTGTTACAGACACACCCATCATCACCACTGAAAACGATACACACTATCATGTGCGTCCCGCCTAGAGCTGCTGGGAGCCCTGGTTCAGCCTGAGGGGACCACATTTTAAAACATACCCTCCAATAAGGAGCTTCTTTTCGAAATGTAAGCAAATAGTCCAATGCCTTAAATACTGATGTTGGCCGCTGTGGTTGCGTGCAGTTCCGAAGTAATCTGCTAGATGGCATGATGCAATAATAATAATATCAAAAATAATAACAACACACGGATTAGTTTTAATTGAGCTAGACTCTATAAACGATTCGTCCAGTAGTTTGCACACGCGTGTGCGTATTCCAAATATCTAAACAACGCTGCTCTTCGGTATTTCGTGCATTTAAATAACGCCGAACCGCTGCTTGCTGCAGCCCGGGGATTTCTCTTCGCCCTGCCAGAGGCTGCGGTTACTGCCGGGGCCG